TGCATGTTTCAGAACTGTCCGAACCTATCTACTGCTATGAACCATCACTAAGCTCAAGATCATCAGGAGAGGCCCTGCTCTCGATCCCACCACTCTCGCAAATGCGGTTGGTGGAGACGACAGACAGGGACTTCTCGGCAGTGCCCCCCCTCCCCCCGTCTGTGAAACTCTCTCCCTAAGGACATCAGGCCACCTCCCTCCTGTCCTTTAGAAGACAACTGAAGACCTGGCTCTGGGGCCAGGCGTTCGATTAGAAGCCAGTGGCAATAGAAAAAGGAAATTTGGATTTTGCAACATGGATTCTCCCGGCTCAGCTTGGTTTTTACTGGCACGTTTATCTATTAATTTATTGTTAAATTTTACTGATGATTTACAATGTTTTAAAATGATTTTATTGTGAATTGTAATTTTTATGGTATTTATACTGTTGCTCATGTGAGACCGCGCTGAATCTCCCTTGTGGGGAGAAGGGCGGGATATATATGAAATTTAAATATATGAAATAAATAAATACATATAGGTTAGCAAAAGCTGGGGCTAACAGCAAGAGCTCACCCCGCTCCCCAGATTTGAACCACCAACCTTTTGATCAGAAAGCTCGCTGTGCCACCAGGGGTTTATGTTGTATATGTTGTATATGCTGTAATTTATTTATTTGTTATGTATGGTTTTATACAGTGTGCAATTTGTGTTTTTGGTTTATCATGTTTTTTGTTTGAATTTATATGTTATGTAATTTCTGTTTTCAACCATTGTATGCTGATTTGAATCCCACCCATAGGAGAAAAGTGGGATCTAAATAAATAAATAATACAGTACTACACTTAGGCAATAATAATGCAATGCACAGATATAGGATGGGTGACATCTGCCTTGGGATCTAGGAGTCTTAGTACACCAGAAGTCAATCAGGAGCAAAGAGTGTGATGCAGCAGCGAAAAAGGCCAATGCAATTCTAAGCTGCATCAATAGGAGGAAAGTGTCTGGGGAATTCATAATACCACCCTATTCTGCTATGGTCAGACCCTGCGTGGAATAAAAAAAGCTGTTCAAGAAGGAGCTCATAGAATCCTAGAGTTGGAAGATACTTCGTGGACCAACCAGTCCAATCCCCTGCCAAGAAGCAGGAAAATCTCATTCACTTCACTTCATTTCACTTTATTTCTTAAATAGTCGCTCTCCACCAAGGTGCTCTGAGCAACTTACAATCTAAAATAGCATTTACACAACATAAAAACATTAAACAGTGACTATTTGGCAAATTAGATCTGATTACTTAAATGCACAACCAAACAGTCAAGTCTTGAGTGCCTTTACAAAAGGTCGCAACTCCGACATTGCTCTCATGTATGGAGGCAATGAGTTCCACAGAATTGGAGCATAGGTCGAAAAAGCTCTACGTCTTGTAGCTTCCAGGTGTCTCTCCCTAGGGCCCGGTATGTATAGGAGATTTTCCTGAGTGGATCAAGGTAACCACTGATGGAGAAAAGGAATGAGGCGGTCCCTAAGATATAAAGGTCCTTGGCCATTTTGAGCTCTAAATGTCAGGATCAGTATCATGTTCTCTTGGTAGCCAATGCAGTTGTTGCAGAATCGGTGTAATATGGGGTCTTATAGATGATCCCGCTAGCAGCCTGGCCGCTGCATTTTGGACCATCTGAATCTTCGGGGTTGTTGACTTTGGAAGGCCGGCATATAAGGCATTGCAATAGTCCAACCTCGTGGTGACTGTTGTGTGGATTACTGTTGCCAATGCTTCTACCTAAAGGTAGTATGCCAATTTCCTTGCCTGGTGAAGATGAAAAAAGGCCTGCTTCAAAGCACCCCTGACAGATATTTATTTATTTATTTCCTATATTTTTACCCTGTCCTTCTCACCCTCAAGGGGGGACTCAGGGCAGCCTCACAAAAGCATCATAGGATGTTGACATCATAAAAACAATCAACAATCAGCAATACATTAAAATCCAGCCTCTGTTTAAAAGCCTCCACCAGACTCCGGGCAAAGAGTTCCACTGTTGAACAGCTCTCACAGTCAGGAAGTCCTTCCTAATGTTCAGGTGGAATCTCCTTTCTTGTAGTTTGAAGGCATTGTTCCGAGTCCTAGTCTCCAGGGCAGCAGAAAACAAGCTTGCTCCCTCCTCCCCGTGGCTTCCCCTCACGTACTTTGGCCACATCATGAGAAGAAAGGAAAGCTTAGAGAAGACAATTATGCTGGGGAAAATGGAAGGAAAAAGGAAGAGGGGCCGACCAAGGGCAAGATGGATGGATCCTTGAAGTGACTGGATTGACCTTGAAGGAGCTGGGGGTGGTGACGACCAACAGGGAGCTCTGGCATGGAATGGTCCATGAAGTCACAAAGAGTCGGAAACGACTGAACAAATGAACAACAACAACTTGAATAAGGATAAATAGGCTTAAAGGCCGATGGACAAAAGCGAGGAGGAGCTGAGGAGCCTTCTAATCAAAGTGAAAGAAGAAAGCGCAAAAGCTAAACATCAAAAAAACCAAGATTATGGCAACAAGAATGATTGACAACTGGAAAATAGAGGGAGAAAATGTGGAGGCCGTGACAGACTTTGTATTTCTAGGTGCAAAGATTACTGCAGACGCAGACTGTGGCCAGGAAATCAGAAGACGCTTCCTTCTTGGGAGGAGAGCAATGTCCAAATAGTGAAGAGTAGAGACATCACATTGGCAACAAAGATCTGCATAGTTAAAGCCATGGTATTCCCTGTAGTCACCTACGGATGTGAGAGCTGGACCATAAGGAAGGCTGAGCGAAGGAAGATCGATGCTTTTGAGCTGTGGTGTTGGAGGAAAGTTCTGAGAGTGCCTTGGACTGCGAGAAGATCCAACCAGTCCATCCTCCAGGAAATAAAGCCCGACTGCTCACTGGAGGGAAGGAGACTAGAGACAAAGTTGAAGTCCTTTGGCCACATCATGAGGAGACAGCAAAGCCTAGAGAAGACAATGATGCTGGGGAAAGTGGAAGGCAAAAGGAAGAGGGGCCGACCAAGGGCAAGGTGGATGGATGGCATCCTTGAAGTGACTGGATTGACCTTGAAGGAGCTGGGGGTGGTGACAGCTGACAGGGAGCTCTGGCGTGGCTGGTCCATGAGGTCACGAAGAATTGGAGACGACTGAACGAATGAACAACAAGGCTTTAAGGCTTCATAGTGTTTTGGTGTTGGAAGTCATGGTGAAGGGTGCACGGGTGTGGGGAAGCAGTTTTATTTTGTGTGGGATAAGGGTTCTGGGATGAGTGTATGGTCCGCTGTGTGTAAAATGCCGTGTGCGGATTTTCTGAATGTTATGGAAAAAAACTGAATAGAAAGTTTTGACTGAAAGTAGTGGATAACATGCAGAAATAGCAAGTCTGTATGTTTTAAGTTAAGTAACTGATGATAATTTGTACTCAATGTCCAAATTAACTGGTTGATTGATTAAGGGAGATAAGCATGTACACATCAAAAATATTGTCCGCAGTTTGGGAGCCCTCTTGGATTCATCGCTCACGCTTGAGGCTCAGGCGTCGGCGGTGTCTGGGAGGGCTTTTGCACAATTGAGACTTGTGCGCTAGCTGCGACCGTACCTCGCGAAGGCTGATCTGGCTGGGGTGGTTCATGCCTTGGTCACCTCTAGATTGGATTACTGCAATGCGCTCTACGTGGGGCTGCCCTTGAAAACGGCTCAGAAATTCCAACTGGTCCAACGGGCAGCAGCCAGGATGTTAACCGGGGCTCCTTACAGAGAGAGGTCAACCCTCCTGTTCAAGGAGCTCCACTGGCTGCCATTTATTTTCCGAACCCAATTTAAGGTGCAGGTACTTACCTACAAAGCCCTGAACGGTTTGGGACCATCCTACCTGCGTGACCGCATCTCCGTCTATGAACCCACGCGTTCACTTCGGTCATCCGGAGAGGCCCTGCTCGTGATCCCGCCTGCGTCGCAAGCGCGCTTGGTGGGGACTCGAGACAGGGCCTTTTCTGTGGTGGCCCCCCGACTCTGGAACGCCCTCCCAAGAGATCTTAGACAGGCCCCTACACTGGCAGTCTTCAGAAAGAACTTGAAGACTTGGCTGTTCTGATGTGCCTTCCCAGATTAGGAATCTCCAATACCAAGTCCTAGAAGCACTTTAGTAGAACTTAGATTACTGCACACCGCACACTGCACTTACATTATAATCCTACATACCTCCTGCCACATCAGCACTTTTAATCTTGTACCCATTACTCTGGCCCGGTCCAGTTTTATAGTGTCTTGATGTATTGTTAGTTGTTTATTCTGCTTAACTGTTTTTAATTTGCTTTAGGTATTGTATTGTTGTGTTGTGTTTTGAGGCCTTGGCCTTTGTAAGCCGCATCGAGTCCTTCGGGACATGCTAGCGGGGTACAAATAAAGTAATAATAATAATAATAATAATAATAATAATAATAATAATTGTCACCTTATTATATCTGCCACAATTTGCTTTCATAGAATCATAGAATCAAAGAGTTGGAAGAGACCTCATGGGCCATCCAGTCCAACCCCATTCTGCCAAGAAGCAGGAATATTGCATTCAAATCACCCCTGACAGATGGCCATCCAGCCTCTGTTTAAAAGCTTCCAAAGAAGGAGCCTCCACCACTCTTCGGGGCAGAGAGTTCCACTGCTGAACAGCTCTCACAGTCAGGACGTTCTTCTTCTGTTATGTTATGTACCATAACCAAAATAAACAGTTTTAATTTAAAAAAAAAAGAAAAGAGACAGAAAGGAGCCATGAATCCCAAAGCCCTTTCTGAGAGTAAGGCTTGTTCCCCGGTGTCTGCCTGCCTGGGCTTGGGCCTTGCCACCCAGCCCAAGGGCGAAGCAGCCTTCCTTTGACGCTCCAAAGGCCTCACCCCCACAGTCCTCCCCCCAAGTGGTGGGAACGGGCTCCCCAGGCCCCCCTCGCCCCCTCCTCCTCCCTCCCTCTCAGCCCCGACGCCTCCCCCTTCCCTCTCCCTTCCAGTCACCTCAGCAGGGAGAGCGCCATCTTGCCCAAATTCGTCCTATTCAGCAAGCGGAAATGACGTCGCTGCCCTTCTTCCGTCGCCGGGAGGAGAGAAGGGCGGAAGTGAAGGTTGTAGTAAAGTCGCTTTGTAAACACGAGGCAGAGGAACACTTTGAAAGTTTCTTCCTGCAAACTGGAATGGAAGTAAAGTGTCTCAGGATTCACTTGCACCCACATAGAATGCAGTTTGAATCCGCACTATATGGTCAGTGTAGACTCATAGAATAGAACAACTTCATTGTCCTTATACATCAAACAACAAAAGTAAATGGCATTATCACGGGGTGTCTGCGCCCCACACCACTGGAGAAATTACACTGTCTAGCCAGTATCGTACCACCTGACATCTGCCAGGAAGTAAAAGCCAATCGTGAAAGGACCAAGGCAGAGACATCTCCAGCTCATCCCTTGTTTGGGTATCAGCCAGCACGTGCACGACTTAAATCCAGACATAGTTTTCTAAGATCTACAGAGAAACTCGCTGGAACGCCTCAGCAAGCGAGAGTCCAAAAGTGGCAGCCTCAAACCCAGAACCTCAACCAATGGCTGATACCAAATGAGAGACTCCCCCTGGGCACACAGAAGACTGGGCGACTTGGAAGGTGCTGAACAGACTGCGCTCTGGCACCATGAGATGCAGAGCCAACCTCAAGAAATGGGGCCACAAAGTGGAATCCACGACATGCGAGTGTGGAGAAGAGCAAACCACTGACCACCTGCTGCAATGCACCCTGAGCCCTGCCACATGCACAATGGAGGACCTTCTTGCAGCAACACCAGAAGCACTCCAAGTGGCCAGATACTGGTCAAAGGACATTTAATCAACTACCAAACTATGTATTGTCGAAGGCTTTCATGGCTGGAATCACTAGTTTCTTGTGGGTTTTTTCAGGCTATAGGGCCATGTTCTAGAGGCATTTCTCCTGATGTTTCACCTGCATCTATGGCAAGCATCCTCAGAGGTAGTGAGGTCACTACCTCACTGACCTCACTACCTCTGAGGATGCTTGCCATAGATGGAGGCAAAACGTCAGGAGAAATGCCTCTAGAACATGGCCATATAGCCCGAAAAAACCCACAAGAACCTAACTACCAAACTCACACATTTTGTATTTTCTCTGTTTGTTTGCTTTGTTCTGTTAGAAATGTAATATAATTGACTGGCTGCCCTGACAAGAGAAATAAATATCCCAAATCACAGTATACTCCCATATATATGCACTCAACTGCACTATATACCACTGGATCTACTCTGACATGGAGCATATTATTATTGGGTTGTTGTAGAACTCTTGTCTGCTGGAGCTAGGTGTGAATGTTTCAACTGACCACCTTGATTAGCAGTTGATGGCCTGGCAGTGCCTGGGGCAATCTTTGTTGAGAGGTGATTAGATGTTTCCAATTGTTGCCTCCTTGTTGTTTGCTGTTGTAATGAAAGGGTCTTTGAGTGAAATTTGCAAATGCCCCAAGGGGGTTTGAATGAAATTAACAACAAAAGAGAAATATACCCTTTCTCTGTAGAAAAGGAGCAACATGGAAGAAAATGTTTTAAAAACAAGAGGCATCATGTAGAGGTCATACAAAGTTCAAGCTTACATAGGAAGTTGGGTTCTGGTTAAGTGCAAAGGTTGCGGTTAAGCACAGAATCTGCAGATACAAGAAGGTACTTTCCATCAAAAGGTCAAGGGAGGGGAGCTGGAAAGAGAGTACTTTCTATGACCAAAAAACCCTTGTATTACTTGATTATATAATGTGTACAAAAGCCAAGGGGGTGCGGCAGTCTGTGAAAGCACAAACAGAAGTGCTGTCTGTCCGTCTCATACTGATCAGCTTGAATAAATGGGGTCTTATATGAACCAACTGAACTCTGTGGATTTCTTCAAAAAGGGACCCCACATCCTAAACCCATGATCCCTTACAGTAATTTTAGAGTTTTTTAAATACTGGTAGCCAGATTTTGTTCCTTTTCATGGTTTCCTCCTTTCTGTTGAAATTGTCCACATGGATTTCAATGGCTTCTCTGTGTAGCCTGACATGGTGGTTGTTTGAGTGGTCCAGCATTTCTGTGTTCTCAAATAATATTCTGTGTCCAGGTTGGTTCATCAGGTGCTCTACTATGGCTGACTTCTCTGGTTGAAGTAATCTGCAGTGCCTTTCATGTTCCTTGACTCGTGTTTGGGTGATGTGACTGCTGTGTTTGGTGGTCCTGAAATGGCAAGGAGAAGGTTTGAGGAAAAGAGACAAAGAGAGATCCTGAGAACTGAAAAGCACGGCTTTATTTTCGGTTGGCGCCAACCGGATATGGACCCTCCTGGTAAGCCAGGAAAGAAGGGTTCAGAACAAAGGAAATCCTTGGTTTATATACCTTTTAAAATAATTATGCATGCATCATACAGACATCACAATGTGCGTCACAAAATTCTACTTTTACATTGACTTCAATAGCATATTTTCAAACTCAACACCTTGTCAATCTTCATTAGCATCACTATCTGAAGAGTTGCTATTAATGAGGACCATTGCCAGAATGTCTACTGAATCTGATAGCAAGAGTCTCCATACATCCTAAGATAAGGTCTTCCTGAAACCTCTTAATGTCCACCTCATTAGTCTTATGATAAGGTGCCTGGTACCGAGATGGGGCCTCTTGCAATATGCCAGGCCTCTAGACGTTCCTTTTCCTAGATGCTGGCCTCTCTAATTTTGCAGCTTTTAAGAAGTCAAGTGAAGTGAAGGCCATGCATACATACATACATTTCTCTTATATATTTTCTAACTCCTATTTCTAATATGGTTACATCAAATATATATTTTCCAATATGTGAATTATGTATTTTCATCAAGCCTTCATCCGTCCCTTGTCTGTTGGAAGTAGGTGTGAACATTTCAATTGGCCACCTCGATTAGCATTGAATGGCCTTGCAGCTTCAACGTTTGGCTTCTTACTGCCTGGGGGAATCCTTTGTTGAGAGGTGATTAGCAGTCCCTGATTTTTTCTTGTCTGGGCTAGATGCCCTCTGTGATCCCTTCCAACTCTAGGATTCTGTGAAACACCAAGGGTTTCCCTTCCCCTTTCCCCCTCTGATGATGAGACATCAGAACTACCTGGAGGCTGAGATGCATTTATTCTGGGATCCCAACCCATTGCCTTTGCCTTTCTGTGTTCTGTGCTGAACTCCGCAGTAGCCCTGGAAGCCACCCACTTTCGACTTTTGGGCTCAGCTAGAAAACAAAAAGGTTTATTTATCCTCCTTTTGTGGAATGCCTCGGCCTCCGAAAGTAGGCAGGCTGAAACAGGGAGGCAGGAAAAGCACCGAGGAAGAGATTTGGAAGGAGAGCGAGAGATGATGTGATTCTGCTTTCTGGTGTGTCTTAGCCTTTTTTAATTGGTTAAAGTGTTTTACATGTTTGTTTTAATTGTAATCTTGGGCATGTCCGTTGTAAGCTGCCCCGAGTCCCCTATGGGAGATGGTTGGCGCGGTATAAAAATAAAGTTGTTGTTGTTGTTGTTGTTGTTGTTATTATTATTATTATTATTATTATTATTTGTTGTTATTATTATTATTATGTGAAGATTAATCCCGATAAGACAGAGGTCGTCCTGGTAGATCGTAAACTGGGTCGGGGTATAGGGTGGCAACCTGTGCTGGATGGGGTTACACTCCCCCTGAAGTCACAGGTCCGCAGTTTGGGGGTCCTCTTGGACTCATCAGTTACACTTGAGGCTCAGGTGTCGGCGGTGGCCAGGAGGGCCTTTGCACAATTGAGACTCGTGCGCCAACTGCGACCATACCTCGTGAAGACGGATCTGGCCAGGGTGGTCCATGCCTTGGTCACCTCCAGATTGGACTACTATAATGTGCTCTATGTGGGGCTGCCCTTGAAAACAGCCCAGAAATTCCAACTGATCCAACGGGCGGTGGCCAGGTTGTTAACTGGTGCTCCTTACACGGAGAGGTCAACCCTTCTGTTTAAGGAGCTCCATTGACTGCCGTTCATTTTCCGGTCCCAATTCAAGGTGAAGTTGCTTACCTACAAAGCCCTAAACGATTTGGGATCCACTTACCTGCGTGACCGCATCTCTGTATACGAACCCACACGATCTCTCCGATCATCTGGAGAGGCCCTGCTCACGATCCCACCTGCGTTGCAAGCGCGATTGGTGGAGACGAGGGACAGGGCCTTTTCCATGGTGGCCCCCCGACTCTGGAACTCTCTCCCCAAGGACATCAGACAAGCCCCAACAGTGGCAGTCTTTAGGAAGAGCTTGAAGACGTGGTTGTTCCAGTGTTGCCTTCCCAGAATAGGAAACTCCAAGCATCATGTCCCAAATGCACTTTACTAGAGATTTAAGATTGCACACCGCACCTATCTCCAAAAACCTATCCATTTCACCTGTCATGCCCAGCATTTTAAAAAATTTTAATCATTACATTTGGCCCAGCCTTAGTTTTGAATGCGTCATGGTGTTATTGTCTAATGTTTATTGCTATTGTTTTAATGTTTATTGCTTTGTTTTATGAGTTTATTTATTGTTGTATTTGTTATGCTGTTGTTTTATTGATGGGCCTCAGCCTCTTGTGAGCCGCACCGAGTCCTTCGGGAGATGTTAGCAAGGTATAAATAAAGGTTTACTACTACTACTACTATTATTATTATTATTATTATTATTATTATTATTATTATTATTTATTCTTTCCTAGAAGGAAAGAGTAATGTGTTAGGAGAGATGGGTAACACATAAACAATCATCATCATCATCATCATCATCATCATCATCATCATCATCATCACTGATGGAGATTGGAGGGTGTATTGCTTTAGGACAGTGTTTCTCAAACTTAATACGATTCCTCATGTTGTGGAGACCCCCAACCATAACATTATTTTCGTTGCTACTTCACAACTGTAATTTTGCTACTGCTATGAATCATCATATAAATATCTGATATGCAGGATGTATTTGATATAAATATGCAATATGCACATATTTGAATACTGGTGGGGTGGGGGGGGGGAGATAATTGATTTTGGGAGTTGTGGTTCATAGAA